CAGAATTGTGAGTCTCAACTCTTTTGGCTGAAAAGCAACCCCACACATGGATGGTCTCAAGATGCTTCACTGTTTTTTTTTATTCCTTTTTATTATGATATAGGGTAGTTGAAAGGAAGCGAAGTTGGAGAGAGATAGGGGACGGGATCGGGAAAGGTCCATAAGCCGGGACTCGTTGGGACGCCCAAAGCGCAACTACGCTATATGTCTGCGCTATATTGGTGCCGACAGAATGTTCCACTGTTGGCATGAGACACGACTCATATTAGCATTCACCTTTTTTTCTCCAATCGATTTCCCAGATGTCCCAAGCAGTCAGAAGCGGCCTTCATCGGAGAAAAGACTTCTGCTCTCCAATTGTACTTACTGCGAAATATCAGTCAGCCCTTGATGTTTTTTCTTGGAGAGAAGTGGCTTTTTGCTACCCTTCATGACACCAGGCCATTGTCCAAAAGTTTTAGTAGATGAACTCATACCCACCTGCTGTCAATATTGAATAAGCTCTGCACTGGGTGACGTGATTCCACAGCGGATTCCTCAGGAGGAGAGGGTCCTAGCACTTGCTGGACACTCTGGGACGTCCTGAAGCTTCTTCACTGCATTTTAACCTCTCTCCTTGAAGTGTTTGATGATCTGGTAAATGGTTCTTTCAGGTGCAATAGTCTTTGCATGTGAGGCCATTTTGAGGCAAAGCGATGATGATGGCTGCACATCTTTCTTTGGAGGTAACCAAAGAAGACAACAACTCAAACACAGGAGTAAATCAACAGCTTTGGCATTATTTTAAGAGACTGATTTACACACGCATATTCCAAGAATACTGCTGAATTGAAACAGCTTTATAAAGATAAATGGTGCAAAATTCCTATTGACAGTTGTGCCGGTCTGAAGGGGAACATTTTGTATATCTCTGACAAAAGAGTTATGGGTTCACATACTTTTCCCCACCCTGCAAGGACATAAAATTGTCTTTATTGACTGTTTTTAAATAGACTGCATGTTTCTATTATTGTAAGATGACATCAAATTTTATAACCTCTTTATGCAGAAATCAAGAGTTCACAATGATATTCCTGCAACTGCATCTGAAAGGAGTTCGGGTATTACCTCTTGGGAAGTAATGTACTGAAAACAATGAATGAACGAGCGAATACTTTCTCATGGTGGTCCGCAGAGGAGCTGTTACCTTCATTAGAGTGACAGTCATATTTGTTACAGCTCTTAATAAATTTGCAAGAGCTGTTCTGTGTTGGCAGGGGCAGAGATACAAGCTCAGCATTTGTAAAATAAAAGGCCAGATTGACAGCAACACTGTTATGATAATAATGGCACTGCTTCCTCTGCCAACAATGCAGAAATGCCCTAAGGCAGCAATCAAAAATTAATACTAATTATTATGTGAATGCTACATTAAATCAGACGTATGTTGAATTATATATAAGCAACATGATTCTACTTTCAGAGGAGCATGCGTGAAGACCTGTTTTTTTTTTTTTATTTATTCTGAGATGGAAGTAAAATTGTCCATAAGCCTTTTATATGAAAAAAAGTGTTATTAAGAGAAAAAAATAGGAAAAACTATACATTTACAAAATAAAGACAATTGCTATTTCTGCTCATGGCGTGATTTATTTATTTCCGTTTAAAATTGTGTGCATTGAATTTTGACTGTGGTTTTGGCACATGGAGCTGTTCTGGGGCTGGCTGGACACACAGCACTTTAAGTCTCATTTCTGATGAGAGCAGTAAATAATTTAGGGCTTAAAGCTGCCATTAGCCACACTTAAACTCTGCTAATGTAGAGCCCTGACAGCTGGCCTATCCCCGGATGGGGCCCTGGATCAAACGGTTCTGGACGAAATAATGGGCCATGGTAAAGCACAAAATCTGTCAATAGGCATGTTGTTTTTAAATTCTGCATGTTTGTTGGTTGCACTGCGGTATTCCCATTACACAGGAGGAAATGCATTTAATGTTTACATGCATGTACAATGCACATTAAGAATTTACAGGATATTACAATTAAAAATACTGACCTTGTGGCAGCCTTATTATAGATAATATTACTTTTTTTTTTGTTGCTCAACAGCATTCAGTAAAATAATAATAATAAAAAAATCAGGTATAAGAAAAGCATTTTAATGAATGATTAATTATGGAATGAAAAATGTCCGTCGTCATTTATCTACTCACCCTTCCAAACAAGTAATGTTCATTTGTCTGCGGACCATAAAAAAAAAGGATATTTGGAGAAACGTCTCTCCTTAACTAAAATATGGCTCTTAAATTAAAATAACATTTATAAACAACAACAAAATATCATCATACGGTTTTTTTATTTTTATATGAATTCAATCTATCAGGAAAAATAGATTCTATATAAAAAAGAAGCCTTACCATGATGCAAATTAAATGTAGGCTTCTTAGAGGTCAGGTGTAAGCTGCAAATTATTATTATTTTTTCGTTAAAAACGACAGAAACAGCAACAACAAAAAAAGTCATGTGACTTTTGCCTCAAGTCATGTGTCTGAATAGTTCGCTTGCGATTACATGGATGGAAACATTTTTAATTAGTGAAGAGTAAGAAGTCTGGTTTTTTTAAAATTCATTTAAATATAGGCTAATCATATTTTTCAATGAGAGCGCCCAATCCCTTAACAATACCGTAAACCGCTGCTGTTTTCATCAATAGATTTAATACTTTTGATAATAATAAATAAGGACATTTCTTTTTTTCATCAGAATCTTCCGAGCGCTGCACTCATCCTTCAGTTCGAGCGCTGGGTGTCACTATCTTCTTAATCGAGAGATCGAAGTGCAGGAAGATGGCATGGAAGTTCGTCTTCTTGAACAACAAAGATGTGCAGTATCCTATATGGCCGGTTTTCATAGCAATATAGGCGAAATATATAGCCTATCATTTGTTTTCTCCATGACGAGTTGTTGTGACTGATGGATAGGAGCCAGGTTTAAAATAGCCTATATATTAGGCTATAACAAGTAGGAAACTTATTTTTATTTTCTCTATAAGCTCATATGTGTCAATAGTCCCATTATAAGTAGCCCCCCAAAAAGTATGCATGTGATTCATCCATTACATGACCTGAAATTGTGAGTTGCCGTGTTCGACAGTCATAGTTTTGAATGACATACAGTTTGAAATGCCCACTGCACTTGCACTTAAAGTGAGCTCTTTCATATGTTCTGCGTTGACAGCACTCGTGTGTCTAAACAATATAATGGGAGACAGAATGTGTGTCAATGTAGCCTATAACTGTTATTTTATGAAGGCTATTTAGTTTTTCTTATGTAGCTATTAATTTCCCCTTATTTAAGTTTATCTGCTTGCTAATGTAGAACTTTCCCATAAATTGTGTAGGCTACATTTTCAATTTATTTTGGTAATCAAATTAACAACAATCAGTTCATGAATTCGAATACGAAATGGTTAAATTCAAGAAAACGTTCAGAAATTGTCAACGTAGGCCTGCTAAACAGATTTAGAAAAAAAATAAATAGGCTATCTCTCTCTCTCTCTCTTGGATTTGGTTTTTCGCAGCCATGAAGAGGAAGAAAACTCTTATATTTGTGTTGGTGTGCATGATAGAAATTTGCAACGAAAGACATGCAAAGATATCTTTGTGAAGAAGTCCATCTATCTTAGGGAGTATTATAAGCGTCCTCTTATTTTTAAGCTTTATTGTGTTATAGCTTAATTTTCGATTTTAATACTATTATTTTATATGACCTTTCTAACGTTCTTGACACTGTTTTTGAATGTCCAAGACGTGGCCCTTTATTTGTAACAGCCTTAAAAATATCACAAAAGTGGGGTTTCCATAGGCTATTGTTTATATTATGATACCAATATATCAACAATGCGTAGCCTACTTGCGATTTTTTTTTTAAATTGGCCAGCCAATTTAAAAATTTGAAATCCTGAAATGTAGGATATAAATGTAGGATTTGAAATCCTGAAATGTAGGATATAATGTTGGCATAGTAGCTTTAGGTCTTTCGATTGATCGTTTAGTAGCCTATATAATGTTTTTTTTTTGTTTGTTTTTTTGTTTTTAATGGATAGGGGTGTGAAAGAGACACTGGTGACTGAATTTTTTTAAAAAAAATTATTGTAGGCTAATAATAACTAGAAATGCATTGTGTTTATTTGTTTATTCCTAACCCTTAATGTCCAAATGAAAGGGCTATATTTAAAGTAAAAAAGTCTGTTTAAAATGTGAATAACCATGTGTTAAAACTGTCAAAAAACTGCTTTGTCACTTTTAGAATGACATGAATCCAAATTGCACCAATAAAAAAGAAAGAAAAGTAAAATAGTAGGCTATGTTTGAGATTGTTTTGGCTTTTTTTCGGGTTAGTGGTTAAACATGAAGAGTTCAGATGCAAAAGCCTCTAAGTGCCATTTGAAATTTTCTTCTAGAATGATCATTTTTATGAAGCTTGTATATTTAAATTCTGTGATTTCACTTAAATTGCAATGATAATTACCTATTAATTGTTATTTAAGTGAAATTACTGAACTTAAATATACAAGTTTGATAAAAAATCATCATTAAAGAAGAACATTTCAAATGGCATTTAGAGGCTTTTGCATCTGAACTCTTCACATTTTAACCAGTAGATGTCACCCTGATAGTAGCCAACTTCGACCTTAATAAGCCACTTGCAAGACTTATGACGTTCATGCATAGCCTAATGCGACTCAGGAACCCATAAAAAAGGCTACCTCAAATTGCCTAAATCTTTTTTTGTTTGTTTTTTGTATTTTTTCCACCTTCCTGTAGTATAACCTACAAATTAAGATGTTTTCATATTGTTCTGAATCAACACGCAGAGATATCTGATCGTGTCTAGGGAGTGAAATTAATCGATACTGCATGCAGTGTGACTTGTTGCCCCCTAGTGACGCATCTTAGTTCGGATTTACGCCTGACGTCACGTCTTGTGCACCAGACAGCTCTCGTCTTAGCCCCCGTTCCCGTGTTTACACCCCTCTCCATCTCCTCACTCTGGACTGAAGTTGCGGGGCAGCCGGGAGCGCGCAGTACCTTTTCTATCTTCTCTCTTTTCTCTCAAGCGATCTTCTCTTTAAGGCAACCTGTATGGTGGATATAATATTCAGCTCTTCTTTTTTGAATGATATGGGGGATCATTCCAAAAGTAAGCATTTCCTGAAGAAAATCTATAAAACGTTAGTTTTAAAGGTAGCCTTTTAATTTGTTTCAGTTCAAAATTGAATTTTAAAAATAATTCCTGTTTTCAGTCTGATTCTTCGTCGGCCCTCTGAGAAATAGATGGGGTTTTTTTTATTTTGAAAAGAGTTGGTTTTTCAAACTCGAATATTAGCCTAGCTATTTTATTAAGAAAACACTTGAACGTACCATCGATGCTCAAACTCACAACAATGTGTTTTCTTGTTCATGTGCAGAGAAGTCCGGACTTGCGATGTGTGTAGGCTGCGGCAGTCAAATCCATGACCAGTACATCCTGCGGGTCTCCCCCGACCTGGAGTGGCACGCAGCCTGTTTGAAATGCGTGGAGTGCAACCAATACCTGGACGAGACATGCACTTGCTTCGTACGGGACGGGAAAACATATTGCAAGAGAGATTATGTAAGGTAGGTTTTTTGTTTGGTTTGGTTTTGAAAAACTATTATTTCATAAAATTATTTTCTATGTACTATTTCTAATGGCCAAAACATCTGGCAGTGGGCTAGACTGTTAAATTAAAGTGGATTAATTTTTGGATAGTAGGCTATTAACAGTGGATCGATGTAATGGTTTTGTCATTGCTCATAAATTCTTTTTCTTTCCCACATCAAACAGATTGTTCGGTATAAAATGCACAAAATGCACTTTGGGCTTTAGCAGCAGTGATTTGGTCATGAGAGCTCGGGACAATGTGTATCACATCGAATGTTTCCGCTGCTCGGTGTGTAGCCGGCAGCTATTGCCCGGGGACGAGTTCTCTGTACGGGACGATGAACTGCTGTGTCGGGCAGATCATGGTTTGGCTCTGGAGCGCGGATCTGGCGGCAGCCCTCTTAGTCCGGGAAACATCCGCAGCAGAGGATTACATATGGCAGGTCAGTATAGCACAATTACAATCAACTGACTACCGTCATATTAGACACAATTAAGTATTTTATTTGGCTATAGGATATTGCAAATAAAAACGAACCAATATTATTTGGAACGGTTAGAACTTTAAGATCAATTTTAAAACTCATGGCTCCCAGCACATAACCAAAGGCTAAACTGAAATATATTGGCTACTGTGGGAGGAATCGTGTAATGTTGTTACATAATAGCTAATTACAGGCTGATCCGCTTGATAACTTTGTTTAGTCAACCACTGATAAACCGGAGCGGCAGGGCTACAGCATACGAAAGAAAGACTCAGCATGGTCTTTAATGCATAGCCTTTTTATTATTATTATTATTATTTAATACATTATTGGTTAAATTAAATGTAATATTGGCAAGAGCAATTCATTTTCAGATTTCAAGTTGAAAATTGTCTGTTGCAGGGATAGCTGCTCAAAATAGTCTACAAGTTATCTATCTATCTATCTATCTATCTATCTATCTATCTATCTATCTATCTATCTATCTATCTATCTATCTATCTATCTATCTATCTATCTATCTATCTATCTATCTATCTATCTATCTATCTATCTCTTATTCAAAATGCAATGACGTGGTTATAAATATCACGGGTGAAATGTAAATTATCTTTCAACAGCATTGTTATTATTGACATTTATATTCACTATAAGCTTAGCCTGTTTAATGTGGGCTACTTATTCTTTTTAATTTAACATTTTTAAAAAATTCTTCAGCCGACCCGGTGTCGGTCCGACAAACTCCTCATCGGAACCACGTGCACAAGCAATCGGAGAAGACCACTCGGGTGAGGACGGTGTTGAACGAGAAGCAGCTACACACTTTACGGACGTGCTACAACGCAAACCCGCGCCCAGATGCGCTCATGAAGGAGCAGCTGGTGGAGATGACAGGCCTGAGCCCGCGGGTCATTCGAGTCTGGTTCCAAAACAAGCGCTGCAAGGATAAGAAGAGATCTATACTCATGAAACAGTTACAACAGCACCATGGCGATAAGACGGTAAGTGTCTTGGTAATGCATTTTCAGTGTGAGAAATTTACCATGTGCGAAAAGACCAGTGCGGATTTGAGTGATCCCTGACACTTGAACTGATCATCATCCGAGATATTTGGTCTGTAATTCGACTGCGGTGTTGGCTGGAAGCAAATCACAGACTCCTCCTACAGTGTGTATAGTTTGGGGAATGTTTTAAACTCAGTTTTCTTGTCGAACTGTCTAACGCACTGTAGGCTATGTATGGATATATATTGTTTCCTTTCAATTATCACACGTTTTGGGGGGAATTTCACACTGTTTTATACAACAATTCTCTCAATATGAAATGGTCTGTGTGGCTGTGTCCCCTCATCGCAGACTTTTTTGGTTCAGAATCTGCAGGGTATGACGGGCACAGCACTAGTTGCAGGTAGCCCAATAAGACATAACTCAATGCCAGGACACCCGGTGGAAGTGCAGACTTACCAACCACCCTGGAAAGCTCTCAGCGAATTTGCACTTCAGAGTGACTTGGATCAACCTGCATTTCAACAGCTGGTGAGTGAATAAATAGGCTAGCTTACGTTTGACGTTTTTGTTTTTCAAATTTTGGTAGGCATAAGACACTACCAGACCAAGACTATATCTAGCTATTTATTTCGAGTTAATTTGCCTCTCTCTTTTAGGTGTCTTTCTCGGAATCCGGTTCTATAGGAAATTCATCGGGAAGCGACGTGACCTCTCTTTCTTCACAATTACCGGACACACCGAACAGCATGGTACCGAGCCCGGTGGAGACGTGAGAGCGACTCGTCTGTTCCCCGGCAAATCATGAGAACAGCTCATATCACGGACACGGGAAGGACAGCGCTATCAGACCCATCGCAACAACCTGCTATAAGAACAGAGGAACCCTTTTCCCAAAAATACGTCAACAAATCCGTTGGCCTCGGAGTGAAATGATGGAAAGTGAAACTCTGCATAGTAGACCTACACTAAAAGAATGGACCATGTTCAATCGGAATGGATATTCGTTATTCGTTTTGATGACCGTTTCGTTATCTGTGGTTTTTGGACTTTTTTTTTTTTTTTTTTTGAAAAATATCTTTTCAAAAGACTCAGTTTCAGAAGTTAGGATTTTTTTTTCGTTGTGAATTAATGCAGACTCTTTGTGTATTTGAACAAAAATTAAGTTATTGTTATTTATTGTCACATCAATTCGCAAAAAAATAAATAAATCAGCACAGACCATTATTTTATTTACTCGTAATTAAAATGCGTGTTTAGGCCTATATGAAAATTTTTAATACTACAGAAAAATAAGAGTATAGGCAAATTAAACAGACAACGATAGTAGTCCTAATACGATACAATCATATTTGTATGCAATAGTTGTATATTATAATTATTCCAAAAAAATCTATGTAATAAAGCGCAGTTTCTTAAACTGCACTGTTACTTTACAATTGGTTTTAGCAGAAAAATAGGCTACAAAACGTAGGGTAACATTCGTTCAAATCAATAAAGAAAGGCAGAAATAGGCTACATGTGATAAATTACATGAATTAATTTGTAGATAGGAAACTTGAAGGTGCCCAAATTATAGGCTCAAACGTAGCCTACATTTAATTATAGGCCTATATTATTATTGTCTCAAACTGATGGCCTGGTTAGTGATGTCGAAGGCTATGTTGTTATTTTTTCGTGGTCAGATCGCTAACATGATTAGATTAGTCCTATGTTTCCTTGTCTAGACAAATGGCTAGTTCAGGATCGGTTGTGTTATGCTTTTGCGCGTTTGCCATCACAATAAACATTCACAGACGCGGAACGTGAATTGCGCAAATTCACCAAAGTAGCCTACCAAGAAAAGTTTGCACAGTAGGCCTACATTGAACAAGCCTAAATGAAATTGCTTATTGCATTGCTTATTGGCATGTAATTCAATTATTTTGTTATTCGTCAACAACTAATTTTTAAAAGCGATTCATTCGAAAAATTAAAAGTTAAAAGCTGTTAGCTGAGCAGAAACACTTTGATTTTTATCGATTAACTAATTGTTAGTTCCAACAAGTTTTGAAACATGTCTGAAAATGTCAAGGTCAACAAGACGTCTCCCTAAGTGTTGTCACGCAACCAATACAGCTAATCAAAATATGAGAAGATGGACTTGAACAGTGAATTGCGGGTTTGTTTTTAGCTACAGTCCAAACCTTTCTTATTAAATTAAATGTTGCACATAATCTAAAAGATAGCTAAACAAAACTACATAATCATAATAATTAGCCCTGACATTTTTTTTTTGATAGTAGCTCTTTACCTTAAGTATCAAGGTGCCATTGATTCTGAAGCAAATAGACAAGATATAGCCTAAATATACACAAGTTCATGCACACAAAGCTCCCTATAGCCTACTTCTTTTGCTTGTTCTGGTGAGTTAAACAGAGACAGAAAGGAAGCAAGGCATTATAAGATGAACTGTTGTAGGTGGTTCTCAGCTCTCAGGTTTTGCAACCCATCTGCAACTACATTCACGACCATTTGTCATGGATCATACGAGCCTGAAATGAGAAGTTGTAAATGGGGTCTAGCTGTGTTGCCAATTTCACAGATTCAGTTTACCCACTGAAATAGTATTCTGACGTTTCTTTTAATAACTCTGTGTTATCTTACAGCAACATTTTTAACCTATTTCTTGCAATAGAACTATAAATCAAACAACCCCACCCACCATGAAGACATACTAAAAATAATGAATTTCCATTAGAATAAACACACACAAGGACACCGCTAGCAGGCCAATATGGACATGCGCATGCACACACACACACCCATTAAAAGCATGGAGGGAGGTCAAAGCCACCCACTCTATAACAGACTATAAAACAGAGTTCACGATGGCTACAGCGTTCAAGCAGACTCTGTCATTCAGAAGAAATACAAGTATCTGGCATTTGAGGGAAAGAGACATCTAGAATTCTATGAAGTGGCTCTGCAGAATAATATAATCCCTCTGCATAAACCAAGATACAGAAATAGCTACACGTTCAAGTTTGGAAGCTTCCTTCATATGTGGGCCGGATCAGATCAGACAGTGGGATTTTGGTCACACACACAGGTACGGGTGCAGAGCTCGGGCCAAATTAAAGAAGATGGTGGGGGCGAAGCGATGTGACCATGGCTCCATAAATAACTAGGATTTATTAGATCTTAAAAACACTTTTAACAATACCGACCCTAATGCATTCTATGTTTGATACTGCACTCAGGGCCTTAAGAGTGGGATAAACAGACCTATAACTCATGTTTTTATCATTCCAGCATGAGGAGAACACAGAATGTGTTCTACAGCAGCGTTCAAAGGGTCAGCGCAATATTGCTTTCAAATTAATGGCTACCATCACAGCAAACAAACCATCCTCAAACTAGAGTCAGCCTCTTCAATTTTTATACTGCCAGCAATTGTTCATTTTGTTTGTGCTATAGATATTCACTATGTGAAGTTATAGCCGTACTGTGTGTGGAAGTATGTACCTTCTAAAAACAAATGTTTTCAAATGTTGTTAAACAACAAAATTACAGTTTACACCAATCTTTTGTGACAACTTCTAACGAAGTGACGTTCAACCAAAAACTATTGAGTAACAGGAACTCAATCATTTAAGTAACCAAGTTAATTTTTCCAAACTAATTTCTAATTTCAACATTTAACGGTGGCCCTTAAAACCAATTAAGTTCAGCTTTAGCAGCTTTAACATGTAAACTTAACCATAAGCAGCACTCTTCAGCAATAAAGCTAACCACAAAAACTTCAACTCTTTTAAATGTCAAAGGTCTTTACCCTTTACCAAAATACATTAAATAACTTTTAATTTAAACTAAATTTATTATCCTTCTCCAGTCCTTAAAGGGATAGTTCACCCAAAAATGAAAATTCTGTCAGTATTTACTCACCCTCATGTTGTTCCAACCCCATAAGACCTTCAAATCATCTTCGGAACACAAATTAATATATTTTTGATGAAATCTGAGAGCTGGATCACTCCTCCATAGTCCATAGGCTTCTTGAGGGATTGAAACTTGCAATCAAAAAGTTATAAAATACATTGTTAAAATAGTCCAAATGACAGTGGCTCAATCTTAAGTTTATCAAACAACAAAAACACTTTTTGTGCACATAAACAAACATAAATTACGACTTTATTTCAACTATTCACTTCCTTCTCTTTGCGCTCTAGTCAGTTAAACTATGTAATTGCATATGATCTGTTGTTGTACGTCATACGCTATCACACTACGTTAACTGACTAGAGGCCCAAAGAGAAGAAAATGAATAGTTGAAATAAAGTCATTATTTATGTTTGTTTTTGCACACAAAAAGTATTCTCTTCATTTGAAATTTAAGATTGAGCCAAAGTTGGACTATTTTAACAATGTCTTTAATAACTTTCCGAGGCCGGCAAGTTTCAATCCCTCAAGAAGCCTATGGACTAATATGGAGGAGTGACCCAGCTCTCAGATTTCATCAAACATATCTTAATTCGTGTTCCGAAGATGAACAAAGGTCTTACGAGGTTGGAACAACATGAGGGTGAGTAAATACTGACAGAATTTTCATTTTTGGGTGAACTAACCCTTTAAGCAGACTGGGAACTAGTAATTTAAAAGCAGAAGTTTAAATTTAAAGTTAATTTTTTAGGTTGATATCATTATCAACATTGTTATGTCAACAGAACTCATCAAAATAATGTTTGCGACTTAAAAAGGTTTAATTAAATCAATAAATGAGACTTTTTTTTGTATAGCAACCATCCATTTATTTAGGTTTTGGTAATAGGTCCTTTGAATTTCGTTTTAGAGTGACGAACAGCAAAAATCTTCTGTGTGCCAAAGATTTTATAAGTAGACATACCAAAGCTAAACTTAAAAGGAAATTAAATATGTCATTCAATTTGGATGAAAAATATTCCTTTGACTAATCACTCCTTTAGAGGCTCAGTTTATCAAACACAACAACAGTTTTTTAATGAACAGCAATATATTATTCTATAGAGCTGTCACTGGGTGTAGCCTGAGTGACGGAGCATTTCATGTGAGTGTTAAAAGAGCAGCCTATATGGGTGAATCATCTCAATCTGATGACGTTCCTGGCTACGCTACATATAGGTTTTTTGGGGGAATGAATCAAGGGTTCTGTTCTGTGCCAAAGTGCACTCAAAGGATAATGTGAGGTGGAATAAATCATAAATACAGCATGAAAATCAGGAAATTAATGTCTTTTCAGAATATTAAAAACTAACATCGATGATGTACAAGGTAATGATTCTCCTTAGGGTATTTTGAGGACTTTTGAGGAGTTAGAATAGGGGTTTCCTCTTTGGAACAGAAAAGAAGCCGTCCTGAAGACTGTTTTGTCCACACAATGATTTTTCACTATTTTATGAAATATCTTATTTATGTTCAACCAAAGGTAGACATACAGGTTTGAAACTAAAAGGGAGTACATGTTTACAGGACTTTTAGGAGACAGGATGTTTCTTGCAACAGATCAAATGGTACACCATCATTGTCCCATGGTCCTGACATTATACCACACACACACACAGACTGAATGAATGGGTTGTGTCAGAGGCTGGACTTGGGGTCAGCGTTGCTTTCTTGTGCCAGAACTGTTTATGTTATCCTAGGGGAGAAGAAAGAGGCCGAACATGTTCCCTGCCAAACATTTATCCTGTCTCAAGCTTGCACCCAACACATACCAGGAGCCACTGACTGAAGCTGCCCTTAACATCAAACATCAGAGACGGGCACTCGTAAAAACCCTGTGCTGAACTTCACCCGGGAAAAGAAAACAGAATGCTAGCAGTGAGTCAATGCTCTGTAATGAAACTGGCACAATAAATAAGAGATTCGGCATCCTTGTTCTATAAACTTTGTTAAAAGCACACTCTCTTCTACAGATGTTGACAGGTAAGCTTTCAATGTGGCTGACATGATGACAGGGACGTGTTACAGATGCTCAGATTAATTTGCAAATTCTCCCTGAGCATCTGAAGGCGATATAATAGTGTTATTTAGTATGTAAATAATTCAAATAATCTTTTCTTTATAAAAAATATTATTTTAAATCATCTCAATGATTTCAGTATTAATTTATATGGAACAGCATACATTCCTCATTAGATTGTTCAGACCTGAGAGAACTTAAACAGATTCATCTTAGTTTAATTACATTTCCCAATATAGAATTAATT